AGACTCCATCCTGAAATTACATGGGGGACGGTCAGTAACATTGGTCAGTCTTTCCCAACTGTTAGGCAAGATTATCTCGGCCATAGCAATCGTCCCCTGGTCCAGGCTTCACTCCAGGGAACTACAGTGGCTCATGCTCCCATTTCAGAGACAGAACCTCAGTGCCTCCCAGCGATGGACAAGTCTTCCACCACAGGTGTTACGTTCTCTCAGGTGGTGGCGATCAACCGCCATGCTCAGAGGGTTATGTTTCAGGGAACCAGATCGGATAGTGATAACTACAGACGCCAGTCTATTTGGCTGGGGAGCACACCTGCGTTCGTAGTGGGCTCAGGGCCGCTGGTCTCGCTCAGACCTGCGCCACAACATAAATTGGCTAGAACTAAGAGCTATACATCTAGCCCTGTGTCACTTCCACAGTCTGGTGAAGGGGCATCACGTACTGGTCCTCACGGACAACGTGGCCAAGGCTCATGTGAACCGCCAAGGGGGCACCAAATCTCGGGCCTTACTGACCGAGTCACTCTTACTGGGTTCTTGGGCAGAACACAATCTGGCCTCCATCAGGGCCGATCATATTTCAGGGGAGGCAAACACTCAAGCCAACCTTCTGAGCAGAGCCACGGTGGATCACTCGGAGTGGCGCCTTCATCCGAGACTCTTCAGGGAGATCTGTCACCGTTTCGGCCTTCCACTTGTGAACCTCTTTGCGTCCCCGAGCAATGCTCAGCTGCCTCGGTTTTTCTCCCGGTTTCCGTCTCCAGGGGTGGAGCAGACGGATGTTCTTCAGAGCCCATGCTTTCCCTCCTCTGCCTCTTATCCTGGCAGTAATCCGCAAGCTTCTTCGGGAGCAGGCGGAGATACTCCTAATGGCCCCTTATTGGCCAAGGAGGCATTGGTTCGCCGATCTGAGGAATCTCTCCCTAGCAGACCCTTGGCGGATTCCTCCGGAACGTGTCTCTCTCAGTCAAGGGGCCATCCTTCATCCAGATCCCCAATGGCTCCAGTTAGCCGCCTGGCACTTGAGCGCTCGCTCTTAACGCAGGAGCTCTGCTCACCAGGGGTCATTACTGTCATCCAGGCCTCCCGTCGTCCTTCCACAAACCGGATATACGAGGCCACGTGGAAGAATTTCCAATCATGGTGCTCTGGTCGTCACTTATCACTTTTGGAACTCACGGTTACCCATATTCTGGACTATCTGTTACAGGGCCTGGAGAAGGGCTTGGCCACAAACACTGTGCAGACAGGTGGCTGCTCTTTCCACGGTCCTCGCCTGTGACTCGGTGGGGTCCTTGGGACATCATCCCTTAATTCACTCATTCCTTAAAGGAGCTTCTAATACCAGGCCTCCTGTGGGTACACAGGTACCCTTCATGGGAATTACCAAGGGTCCTTAAGGCTCTTACCAAGCTTCCCTTTGAGCCCCTGAGGACGTGCGATGTCCGTTACCTGTCCCACAAGGTGGTATTCCTAGTGGCCATCACGTCGGCATGCCGTATTTCAGAATTGGCAGCACTTTCTACAAGGGATGACCTGTGTATTTTTCACCAGGATCGGGTGGTCCTTCGACTCGACCCTACTTTCATCTCAAAGGTTAACTCCCTGTTCCATAGGTCCCAGGAAATTGTGCTGCCAGATTTCTGCCCCAACCCATTGCATGCGCTGGAACGGCAATGGCATAGCCTGGATGTCTGCAGGGCACTTAGGTACTATATTTCACAGACAGCGACATTCCGCAAATCTGAAGCCCTCTTTGTATCCTTCCATTCTTCCTCCAGGGGGCGGAAGGTTTCCTCTTCCACGATTGGCAGGTGGATCAAGGAGTGTATTGCTGAGGCATATCAAGCTGAGTCATTGCTGGCTCCACGAGGGGTCACGGCCCACTCTACACAGAGTGCGGCCACTTCCGTGGCATGGGCCACCCAGGCGTCCATTGAGGACGTCTGCAGGGAGGCTACATGGACTTCACCATCTCCATTTATACAACACTACAAAATTGACCGGTTTGCCTCGACTGAGGCTTCTTTCGGTAGGAGAGTTCTCCAACACGTTTTACATCAAAGTGCCACACCGGACCAGTCTACTACCCACCCTCAGGGACAGTAGGCTTTGGTATGTCCCATTGGTGGATTCTCCATCTCCAGTGCTGGAGAAGGGGCGTTGTTTTACCTGAACCTTGTAGGTTATAAGACCTAGGGTTAGTTAATTTTTTGTGAGCCACAACATCTTGCTGTCAGTCAATGGCTAGGGATCTCTATGGTCCAGGACGGGCTTGGCAACTTTGGCTGACTTGATCTGATTGGGCAGGAATGCAGTCTAAACCCATTGGTGGATTCTCCATCTCCGTGCTGAGAAAAGGCATTCAGGTAAGACAACGCCCCTTTTCAGTCTTACGTCACTAGGTGGAGCTCTAACACAACACTAGCGGCTGGAGAATGTCCATCTAACAGCAGCGTCGGCGGTGGATGAGTTGCGTCATCCAACCGGAGTGAAAGGAGCTGAGGTGAAAGGCTTTAAAAGCTAGAGTATTGCTAGAAAGGATGTCGAGGAGAGGAGAAGGGCAGAGGAACTTCCTCTTCCGGTTGATCCATGAGGGATGGAGGCGTGGGGGTGGGGTGGAACTCATACTCTTCCCAGGGTTGAAGGAGCAGCTGGAAGGTGAGTTGAGAGTTCGGAGGAGAAACCAGAAGCAAATAGAACTGCCTTGTTTCCTCCGGGGTGTGAAAGCAGAGAAGCAACTAGGCTGAAACATGTCGGCTGCTACTGTATAATGTTTTTTTTCCAGACATTATTATACTTAACGCTGTATGGTTTAAAGCTTCTGCCTCTAGTTTTCTGCTGGGAGATGGGAGAAGCTAAAATTTAAAGGCCTGGAGACTAAACATACGAAGAAAGGTTGCAGGATTTGGGTATGGCCAGTCTAGAGAAAAGAAGGATTAGGGAGGGACATGATAGCAGTATTCCAGCATTTGAGGGGCTGCCACAAAGAGGAGGGGATCAATTTGTTTTCTAAAGCACCAGAAGGCAAAACAAGAAACAATGGATGGAAACTAATCAAGGAGAGAAGCAACCTGGAATTAAGGAGAAAGTTCCTAAGAGTGAAGAATAGAATAGAATAGAGCTGGAAGGGACCTTGGAGGTCTTCTAGTCCACCCCCCTGCTCAAGCAGGAGAATCTATAACATCTCAGACAAGTTACTAGCCTCTTTTTAAAAATCTCCAGTGATGGAGCATCCACAATTTCTGGGGGCAAGCTATTCACTGCCAGGAAGTGTCTCCTTAGTTCCAGGTTGCTTCTCTCTTTGACCAGTTTTTTGTGATATGGAGACCAAAACTGGCTGCGGTATTTCAGGTGTCTTACTGGGGTTTTATAAAGCGGTACTAATACCTCGCATGATCTTGAATCTATGCCTCTGTTTATACAACCCAGGATTACCTAATGCTGCACACTGCTGGCTTTTTTGGCTAATGCTGCGCACTGCTGGCTCATACTTAAGTGCTCGTCCACTAGGACTCCAAGGTCCCTCTCATAGTTACTGTTTTTAAGCCAGGTTTTGCCCAATTTGTATCTGTACCTTTAATTTTTCCTGCCTAAATGTAAAACTTTGCTTTTCTCCACATTGAAACTCATTTTGTTGGATAGGGCCCATTGTTCAAGTTTGTCAAGATCTTTTTGGATCCTGAGTTTGTCTTCTGGGGTGTTGACTACTCCTGTCAGTTTGATGCCATCTGCAGATTTGATGAGTTCCCCTTCAATTCCCTCATCTAAGTCATTGATGAAATATTGAAGAGTACTGGGCCTAAGACGGAACCTTGTGATACCCCACTGCTTACTTCTCTCCATGTGGATATAGTGCCCTTGAGGAATACTTGTTGAGTACGTTTTGCCAGCCACCTACAGATCCATCTGGTGGTGATGTTGCCTCCAGAGGCTGTAGGTGCTTCATCGGTGGAGGTTTTTAAGAAGAGACTGGGCAGCCACTTGTTTGAAATGGTATAGAGTCTCTGGTTTGAGCAGGGGGTTGGGCTAGAAGACCTACAAGGTCCCTTCCAGCTCTATTCTAACTGATCTACGGACTCGTATTCACACAGACATACATAAATCTTGGGCATGTGTGTTCATATATGTGTGATCTATCAAAGCCAAATAATTTTATAATTGATTCAGTGTTTGAATTTGGATTTTACTAGTCTTCTATCTGCCAAATTAATCATAAATAGTGTTAGAAGTTATACTAGAATTTTGATATTTTCATGCTAATGTAAGGGTTTTCTTTTTGCTGCTTTCACATGCCCTGCACCCATTTGTTAATAATGAAACTGACCCGTTAATATGAATCTTACAGACAAAGATGCCAAGAAGAACACTGTGGACCACAGAGAATGAGAAGCAGCATTAAAATGCAAGACAAAGCATCAATCAAAACCTTTTCTGCTTCCTCCAGAAATTTTGAAAACTCTTCTCCTGTCTCACCTGATGAGAGACAAGGGAGAGAATAACAAGAACAAAGTTTTGAGGTGGAAAAAATAGAGCATGTGCAACTCAAGGGACAACATGACATAACAAATCAAGGGGGATAATACCGAAATTTTTTAAAAAGTGGACATAACTGGAAGTCAGTGGGAAGGAAGAGGTCCCTTGGATAGCCAAAATGGACAGGCATTAAACCCTTTCAGGAAGACTTGACTTGACTCAAAGACCCTCCAAGTAAGAGATCAGAAACATTTTTGGCCTCCTCAAGAATATAAAAATATCAGTGTTGAAAAAAACCCCACAGACTGCCTAATGTAAGAAAAATAGAGGTTGCAGATCACAGCTGATATGCAGGAGATGATCCACCCAGTGGAAGTGATACTAATGTTTGGAGTGCGACAAAAACTTTACTCAGAGTAGTTCCCTTATGGTTCATGGAAGGACCCACATTGGAGAGAACCTCTACCAGACAACCCAACGTGACAAAGATTTAGCATGCACACTAACATGGTAAGACACAAGAGGAGTCACACAGAAGAGAAACGCTATGAGTGTCCAGAGTGTGGGAAACGTTTTAGTCAGAATTCCTACCTGGTGAGACACCAGAGGACTCACACGGGAGAGAAGCCCTATGAGTGTCCAGAGTGTGGGAAAAGTTTCAGTCAGAGATACACCCTGGTGACACACCAGAGGACTCACACAGGAGAGAAACTCTATGAGTGTCCAGATTGTGGGAAAGGTTTCTCTTGGAAATCTTACCTGGTTAGACATCAGAGGACTCACACAGGAGAGAAACCATATAAATGTCATTGTGGGGAAAGTTTTAGTCAGAATTCCTACCTGGTGAGACACCAGAGGACTCACACCGGAGAGAAACCCTATGAGTGTCCAGATTGTGGGAAAGATTTCTCTTGGAAATCTGACCTGATGAACCATCAAAGGACTCACACAGGAGAGAAACCATATAAATGTCATTGTGGAAAACGTTTTAGTCAGAATTCCCACCTTGTGACACACCAGAGGACTCACACAGGAGAGAAACCCTATGAGTGTCCAGAGTGTGGGAAATGTTTTAGTCAGAATTCCTACCTGGTGAGACACCAGAGGACTCACACAGGAGAGAAACCCTATGAGTGTCCAGAGTGTGGGAAAAGTTTCAGTCAGAGATACACCCTGGTGACACACCAGATGACTCACACAGGAGAAAAACACTATGAGTGTTCGGATTGTGGGAAACATTTCTCTTCAAAATCTGTCCTGGTGAACCATCAGAGGACTCACACAGGAGAGAAACCATATAAATGTCATTGTGGGAAAAGTTTTAGTAAGAATTCCTACCTGGTGAAACATCAGAGGACTCACACAGGAGAGAAAGTCTATGAGTGTCCAGATTGTGGGAAAGATTTCTCTTGGAAATCTGACATGTTTAGACATCAGAGGACTCACACAGGAGAGAAGCCATATAATTGTCGTCATTGTGGAGAAAGTTTCAGTCAGAATTCCTACCTGGTGATACACCAGAGGACTCACACAGGAGAGAAACCCTATGAGTGTCCAGATTGTGGGAAAGGTTTCTCTTGGAAATCTTACCTGGTTAGACATCAGAGGACTCACACAGGAGAGAAACCATATAAATGTCATTGTGGGGAAAGTTTTAGTCAGAATTCATACCTGGTGAGACACCAAAGGACTCACACGGGAGAGAAACCCTATGAGTGTCCAGATTGTGGGAAAGATTTCTCTTGGAAATCTGAACTGGTTAGACATCAGAGGACTCACACAGGAGAGAAACCATATAAATGTCATTGTGGGAAAGGTTTCTCTCGGAAATCTGACCTGGTTAAGCATCAATGGACTCACACGGGAGAAAAACCATATGAGTGCCCAGATTGTGGAAGAGATTTCAATAGTAGGTATAAACTTTTAAATCATGTAAAGTTACACATAGCAGAGTAACCATTCAAATACCCAGATTATGGACAGTGTTTTGTAGAAAATTCCTCTCTTATTACAGAAGATATTCTACATGAGGAAAAATTTGATCTTGAATTTTGTTTCTTATCTCTTACTGGAAGCCTAGCTGAGAAATTTCTTGCATGATTCTTTTTAGTTGAGCGTATTTTATTAAACATGAGGGAAGAAGTCTGAGCTTCCTTTATCTGGGCCACTGCAGTTGTTCCTCTTCAGGGAGTCATGGTTGTGCTGGGCCAGAGAAAGCGAGCTTAGATCTGTATTAGGTATCTTTGCCACCCTTGAGTTATTTCTACATATAATAAGTGCGGGATATGTATCTTTGTTAAGAAAATGTATGTGGCACCCCAACTCAAGGTGACTCCATACAATTTAAAGCAACAAAAACCTGAATACAGAAACCAATAGATCCCATACATTGCAAATGGCAAAATGCAAAGCCCCCACGGTTAACATTTACTTGCCCTATAAATACAGGGTACTTCAACCAAAATTGATGGCATTCTGATGGTCTTGGAAGTCCCAAAAAGGTGATTCTTGCTTTTGTTCAATTTAGAAGTTAACCAGCCCTCCTGGCCTTACTAACTACCCATTGGGAACCCCATATTAATACAACATATCTTATGTGCGGGCAGAATTTGAAAACAACGTTTAATATGGCAGAGTACTTGAGTAAAATGGTTTGGCTGAGATCAGCATATGTGGAACTTATTGGGGTAGATTTTAGGGGCGATACTGAAATATAATTATTTCACTTATCTGTGTATTGTTGTATTTTACTCCAATTTCATTTTAATTTGTTTTTTAGAGGGTTTTATTAATGTTTGGAACTCTGTATTCTGATATTGGTCAATGGGCTAATTAATAAACTAAACTATTAAAACCTCTCATTTCCAGTCCCAAACGCCTGTCCAGAATGATATCATGAAACCTGATGAGAGGTCTAGGAGGGACAAAATGGTTGTATCCCGTGTATCTCAAGCCCTCCAAAAGTCCACGAGAGTTGCAACCAATGCCGTTTTGGTGATGTGCCCCAGCCTGAACCCAGACCGAGATGGGCCTATGTGCCTTTCTCCTGCACAGCCCTTTCTCTGGGTGGCAAAGTCAGAGCTGCAGGCAGAGGGCGAGTTGACGTTCCAGGCTGCCAACCTCTCATTCCCCTCTTCAACTGCACTTAGAAAAGATCTTAATCTGCAGCAATGTCTTGAAATCCTCTGCCAGGAAAGCCTCTCATGATTTAGCAAACTGCTGTTATAAAGCTGGCCAGAATGCCAACTGTCCAAAAGTGGAGGGAATTTCTTTTTCAGGCCTCTCCCGAGCTTGGAAAAGAAATACAAGTAATTTTCGGGTTGTGACAGGAATTGGCGCCATGTTTTTCATTAGTATCACATGAGCACAGGATTGTGAGGGAATCCTGGCAGTTCCAGTTGCCACTGCAACTCTAGGACCCCGTGGGTCTTTAAGTGAGGACCTCATGTGATTGTGATGTGGAAAGAAATAGGAGTCCCAGGCATGCAGGCTAGCAGGTGAGAGCTACAGACAGGTGGATGGTTTCCAGGCCTCCTCCTTTCAGGGTCTGGGACAGGAACTGGCCTAAAGACCCCAGCAGAGTTTCTGCCTGAGATTCCCACTCATTTCCTAGGCTGAGGCCTTAACCCCTACACCAAAATGTCTCTCACATAAGATCTTCTATCTAAGTTTTCTATTTTCTATACAGTTTATGTCTACTCTATACAGAGCTTTCAAAAAGCCTATAACACTATCTTTCCATCTTTCTCTGTTCAAACGGCCTATATATCACTATATATCCTTTCTCTATTCCTAAACTCTATATTTCATTAATCCTAATCTCCATATGTACCTAGTGCTACTCTCTCTCTCTCTGTCCCCCCATCATCTATTTAGCTAAGTAGCTGTCTCTAATAATTTCCTATAAAGTTCAGTGTGTCTTTTATCTTTCTTCTCTTATCTGCTCCAGCAAGACCATCCAGAGAATCTCCTTGTTGTTTTGCACAGATATGAGCAATCTGGAAGGGAAATGTTGGCCTGGGTTTCTCTGAGGAATCAGGCCAGGATCCATTTTTAAGAAGGGTTTTCTTCTAGTTAGCCGATGAGACACAATTTCAAAACAGGAATGTGTATAAGAATCCCTTGATAGAAAGAAAGAGGGAAGGCATACACTGTATGATCTAATTTTTTTCAATTTCTTGTTTATTGCTGATTTAATATTGTTTTGGTGTGTTTTGAATATATTAAACTTCTAATTTAAAAAAAGAGTATCAGGCAGAAACGCCTTTGTGTGCCAGTGTATACTACCGTTCTTTTTAAAATGCTTTCAAAGATTCTTTAAAAAGTATATTAGTTTTTTGAGGGGAAGAGGCCTATTGTTTTGACAGAACTGTAAGAAGACATACTACCCTGTGAAGAAAATACATTGTACATATTTCTAATTTCATGAGCCAAGCCCTAGCTCAGGGGTAGGCAACCTTGGCTCTTTTATGACTTGTGGACTTCAACTCCCAGAATTCCTGAGCCAGCCATGCTGAGGGGAAAGGGAGAGGTTTCCAAGCGGAGCCATGCTGGCTCAGGAATTCTGGGAGTTGAAGTCCACGAGTCATAAAAGAGCCAAGGTTGCCTACCCCTGTGACCTAGGCCCTGCTGTGTATGTGTTTCACTCACTTTGACTTAATGGAGATTTTCTAAAGAAATTACAGAAGCACCTGGCATTTGGCAGACTTAAAACCAGCCCTGGCCAGCTGGAGTGAGGCTTGTTCCCTTAGATCCCCTGAAATGCTGGTGCTTCCATGTCCTAAATCCTTGAGAGCCACAGGAAATCAGTCATAAAGTTTTGGGATGTAGTGATGGGAGCAGGACACCCACTCTTCACTCCAAAGAGAAAATACCTTGGCAAATACAGGAAGAACCCAATACAAACTAGGATGAAGAACTGGCTGGAAGACTCGCCACTGATCCCCAAGGCAGGTGTGCTTTCTTCTTGCCTGATGGTGCATTCTGTTCCCCCCACGGATGCTTTCCCTCGGTTTAGTTCCTGCAAGTGAAGCTCCTAACTCAGTTGCAGTGACGATGAGGGCGTCCCTGCGAGACCCCAAAGGGCAGACGAGGGCTAGATCGTCCTGGAGAAAAGTGATGGACGCGGTAGCTAAGAATGGAAATCGGCTCTTCATTAAAACATCTTAGAAACGCCGGAGAAAGAACGAGCGTATTTTCAGGCTCACGTCAATAGGGGGAGCTCTAACACAACAACAGCGCCTGGAAATCGTCAACATAATCAGCATCGCTGCTGGCTGAGTTGCGACAGCCAACCGGAAGGAGAGCAGCTAAGGTGAAACGGAGTGAAAACCATCGAGTATTTCTAGAAAGGACGTCGAGGAGATGACAAGGGCTGAGGAACTTTCTCTTCTGAGTCATCCACGGGAGGATGGAGACATGTAGAGCGGCTGTCCTGCTCTTCCCAGGGACGAAGCAGCAGCTGGAAGGTGAGTGGAGGGCAGGTCGGAGGAGAGGGGGAGCAAGTAGTTTTGCCTGGTTTCCTCCACGGTGTAAAAGCAGAGCAAGCAACAAGGCTGAAACATCAGCTGCTGCTGCTGCATGTTCCTTCTGTTTCCAAATGTTTTTGCACTTATGCTGCATGATTAAAACTTCTGCCTGTAATTTTCTGCTGGGAGATGGGAGATGACATGATAGCAGTATTCCAGTGTTCCAATATTTGAGAAGCAACCTGGAATTAAAGAGAAATTTCCTAACAGTGAGAACAATTTAACCAGTGGAACAGTTTCCCTCTAGAAGTTGTGGGTGCTTCATCGCTGGAGGTTTTTAAGAAGAGACTGGCAGCCACTTGTCTGAAACGATATGGGGTCTCCTGCTTAAGCAGGGGGGTGGGTTACAATTCCTACAAGGTCCTTTCCTATCTGATTGATATACATAGACATATGGACGATGAAATATCTAAATTCTTAGGTGTTTATTTTTGTGGGTGTATATGTGTGAATTTTATAAACAAATCAATATTTTAACTTGAATTTGTTGGTCTTCTATATGCCAAGTCAATCATAGATAATAATGTTTATGTCATGGTTTCGATAGATGTGGCCCATGAAAAGAACCTTGAGGCAAAATTCTTCCTTAAATTACATTTATTAGGAATACAACGTATCAGCCGTACATAGTTTATTTATTTATTTATTTTATTTTTAAAATTTATAAGCCGCCCCACTCCCGAAGGACTCTGGGTGGCTAACAATAAAAAACACATAAAACATAACAAACAAACAGTACAAAGACAGTCATCCAGGGGTCAGGTTTTATAAACCCCAAGCCTGCCGGAAAAGCCAGGTCTTAAGTAGCTTACGGAAAACCAACAGGGTGGGAGCAATCCTAATCTCCGGGGGGAGCTGGTTCCAAAGCGTGGGCACCATCACAGAGAAGGCCCTCCTCTGCGGCCCCGCCAAATGGCACTTGTTGGCCAACGGGGCCTGAAGGAGGCCCAGCCTGTGGGATCTAACCGGACGTAGGGAACTATGAGGTAGTAGGGGGTCTCACAAATAGCCTGGCCCTGAGCCATATAGGGCTTTAAAGGTAATGACCAACATTACCTTTAAAGGTAATGACCAAAGGTAATGAACCCAAAAACTCTTCCCTTCCCCCAGATACAAAGTAACAAAGTACAACTCCCACCCCAATTAACTGTCATAAATCATAATCCCCATTTAGCTTAAAGCATGGGTTTTTGTTCTCAGCTCCACAAAAAGTTATCAACTTGTCGTATTTCCACAGCAGCATTATTATTATGGCTAGCTGAGCTTACATTCCAATCCCCCCCCTCTCTCTGCTGCCCCTAATTTCTAGAGTAAAAAAAAGCATGTTAAAGGAATAGAGAAAATGTCTGCATTTTCATCAGTTGTCAGAGCGGAAAGATTCTGTGTTACCAGCATTGACAGTTAGAGGTTAAACTAGAATTTTGATGTTTCATGGTAATATATGTTGTTTTTTTTCATGCTTTCACACTTCCTGTGCCCATTTGTTAAACAATAATGAAACTAACCCATTAATATGAATCTTACAGATAAAGAGGATGCCAAGAAGAGCACTCTGCACAACAGAGAATGAGAAGCAGCTTTAAAATGTAAGACAAACCATCACCCAAAACCTTTTCTACTTCCTGCACAAAGTTTGAAAACTCTTCTCCTTTCTCATCAGAGAAAAGGGAGCAAATAACAAGAACAAAGTTTTGAGATGGAAAAATAGAGCATGTGCAACTCAACAAAACATTACACGAGACGTCAAGGAAGATAATATCCAAATAAAGAAAAAGGGGAAATAACTGGAAGTCGTTGGGATAGCCAAAATGGGCAGGCATTAATTAAATCCTTTCAGGAAGGTAAGAGTGAGTTGACACAAAGAACCTCCAAGAAAGAGATCAGAAACATTTTTGTCCTCAAGAATCCAAGAATAGTAGTGATGGAAAACCCCCACAAACTGCTTAATGTGGGAAAAATAGAGGTTGCAGATCACAGCTGATTATACATGAGACGATCCCTTCAGTGAAGCGTGATACAAATGTTTTGGAGTTTGGCAAAAGCTCCCTTATGGTTCATGGAAGGACCCATATAGGAGAGAAGCTCTATCAGACGACCCAATATGATGAAAGATTTAGCATGAACACTAATATGGTAAGACACAAGAGGATTCACGCAGAAGAGAAACCATATGAGTGCCCAGATTGTGGGAAAAGTTTGAGGGATAGCCTGTTCCCATTCGTAGCGTGGCCGCTGTCCAATCACTGCGCTTCCTCTTAGGAGGGCAGCGTCAGATCAGCCTGGCGGAGGTGGGGTGTGAAACCGGCGCCAAAACCAGCGCTCTGAGACTCAAAGTTGTAGAATGTTCTTAAGTGAAGGAATAAAAATATTAAGGACTATGTTGTTAAGACAACAATTAGAAATAGAGAGTTTAGCAGCTTCTGTAATGTGAGGGCTATGTGCAGAGCGAATTGATTATAGTTGTTCTGCTTGGGTAGATCATACTAGCTAAGATGTGCCTGATTATTCTGAAATCATTGCAAACATCATGAACAAATCAATAAATTACAACAAAAGCCTAGAGCCAGAGGGAAGGACGGTTGGAATCCCTTGAAAGGACTCAATGATTGGATCCCTAACTTGGCCGGATGGGTAAAACTATTAGTAGTGTTGGAAATTTGAATATTAATAATTGGAATGCCAATTTGTTGTTTGCAGTGTAGACCAATAATAACGGTTTGTTGTAAAGACTATGATTGGATGGAAAATGAAAGACGAGAGTGAAGAGGTTGGAAAAATGTTGCAACAATTTGAGAAATATGAATGTAAAAATCAATAGAAAGTATGAAAAGAAAAAGGAGAGATTTCTGGGGGGGGAAGCGTATTGTTTTTACAGAGCTGTAAGAAGACCTGCTTGTCAACGCTGCAAATATTGTATATTCTTGCTTTTGACAGTATGTAGAATTGTCTGGTAATTATGGGGTTAATACAGAGCAGAAGGGGCGTTGGGCTAAAGCCAGGGAAAGAAAGAGGAAGAAAACATTTGACCTTCACACTAATTGGATAATGTGAGATATGAGGGCTAATTTAGGGAGGGAACATGCTGATAATTTAACTGCTCAGAGGAAGAGAACTTAGATCCTAGCATCCCTCCGTTGTGCCTGTGCAGACATTTTGCAACAATAAAAGACTTTTAGGAAAACAAATGCCTGGAAGTTCTTTGGAATGTTTCATTAGCTGGAACCACAACACTGCTAGGCTGTGAACAAAATACATTGCACATATTTCTAATTTCACGAGCCTACCTGAAGCTTGTATTTAGAAAGGCCTCTGCTAGGCTAGAAACCCTTCTTAACCAGAATTTACTGATACGATAGTTACTCTGGAGCAGGGGTAGGCAACCTTGGCTCTTTTATGACTCATGGACTTCAACTCCCAGAACTGGCTCAGGAGTCATAAAAGAGCCAAGGTTGCCTACCCCTGCTCTACAGACAACCTACCTAGGAACTAGTAGCCATAAAAGGTAATTTGTAAATAAGGGCAGAGGGGGATAGAATTCAAACAATGGAAGATGTAATCAGGGGTGGGGAATAATGTATTTGCTTTAGGCGCTTTGGATAGGTTGGGATGGTCCCTGCGAAACCCCAAAGGACAGATGAGGGCTAGATGGTCTTGGAGAAAAGTTATGGATGTGGTCACTAAGACGGGTCTTAGTTAAAACATCTTAAAAATGCCAGAGTGAGAGTATTTTCAGCCTTACGTCACTAGGTGGAGCTGTAACACAACACTAGTGGCTGGAAAACAGTCACTCTAACACAGGGATGTCAATTTCAATGAGGGCCGCACCAGCATTGCGGTTGCCCGTGGGGGGGCAGGTGGGTGTGGCCTAGTAGGTGAGTGTGGGTGGGGTGGGTGTGGCCTATTGGGTGGGCATGGCCAGCTCTACATTGTTCACAAGAAGGGTGCCAAGGAGATCTTGGAGGATGAATGAAAATTTATTTAGACAAGAAAAGAATGTTCAAAAATTAAAGGAGCAATTAAAGGATTACTTTGCTTTAAATATGTATAAGGGAACTTCAATGTCAATGGTATGGGATGCCGGTAAAGCTTACATGCGGGGGATTTTGATACAAATGAATAAGGTTCATAGACAGAAGCAGGTGCAGAAACGTAAGGAGTTGGAAGATGAGATTAAATTAAAAGAAAAAGCTCTGATTTTAAACTCCACAGATGAGAAGATTAAGGAATCTATAAAATTGCTTAAATCACAATTTAATATGTTGATGGTTGATCAAACTGCAACTAATTTATTGTATATGAAACAAAATACATTTTGTAATGCCAATAAACCAGGGAGATGGTTGGCTTATCAATTGAGAAAGAAGCAGAAACAGAGAACTATAGATAAAATAAATTATAATGGTAAATTGGTATATCAGAAGGAGTTGATTAAGAAATCTTTTTTAGATTATTATCAAAAATTATATATGAGTACTAAAGTACAGGCTTCAGACATAGATAATTATTTAAAAGATGCTAATTTTCCTAAACTAACAGAAGATCAGAAACAAGAAATTAATGGCCTGATTACTAGTGAAGAAATTGAGATAGTAATTAAAGAATTAAAATTAGGTAAAGCACCGGGTACTGATGGATTGACATCTATTTATTATAAAACTTTGGTACAAGAGTTGATTCAACCTTTAAGGGAGATTTTTAATAATATATTACAGGGCTTAGAGACCCCCTTGTCATGGGGTAGAGCTTTTATATCTTTGATTCCAAAAGAAGACCAAGATCTCACTTTACCAAAGAATTATAGACCTATATCTCTTTTAAATGTAGACTATAAGATTTTTTCAAAAATCTTAGCTAATAGACTTATGAGGGTCTTGCATCATGTAATACATATGGATCAAACAGGTTTTATAACTGGAAGGTATATGAAGAATAATGTTAGACAAATTATTAACCTATTAGAATATTTAGATAAAAACAATCAAGTTTCTGCAGGATTGATATTTTTAGATGCTGAAAAAGCTTTTGATCAGCTGAATTGGCAATTTATGTTAAGATTAATTGAGAAAATGAATTTTGGAGAAAAAAATTTACAAGCTCTTCGTGTTATTTATCAAAAGCAAACGGCACAACTTATAGTTAATGGGGGTTTGTCAGAGGTGTTTTCAACTGAGAAGGGGACTAGACAGGGCTGTCCATTGTCACCATTGCTGTTTGTCTTAACTTTGGAAATTTTGTTGATTAAAATTCGAGAATCACAGCAAATAAAAGGAATAGAAGTTAATAAAAAAGAATATAAATTAAGGGCTTTTGCAGATGACTTGGTTGTTACTTTATCTCAACCAACTGATTCTGTAATAGAGCTATTACAATTGATATATCAGTATGGACAGGTTTCGGGTTTCAAAATTAATAATAATAAGACTAAAATATTGCCTAAAAATATGACCAATCTGGACAAGAAGACCCTGGTTAGGTTGACAGATTTCGAGGTTGTTAATAAGGTAAAATATCTGGGGGTTATTTTATCTGCTTTTAATGCAAAATTGTATAAAAATAATTATGAAAGGCTGTGGGTCAAAATACAAAGAGATTTGGAAAATTGGGAGAAGTTGCAATTATCTCTTTTGGGGAGAATTGCAGCGATTAAAATCAATGTTCTGCCAAAGTTTCTTTTTTTATTTCAAATGATACCCATTTTAAAGAATGAGGTTAATTTAAATGAATGGCAGAAAGGTATCAATAAATTTATCTGGGCAGGGAAAAAAACCAAGAGTAAAACTTAAAATTATACAAGATATTCGTGAGAGAGGTGGACACAAGGTACCGAATTTGAAATTGTATTATGATGCTGCGGTTTTAACATTAATTAGTGACTGGGTTAATTTAACAAATGTAGAAGTACTCCTCTTGGAGGGTTGGGATTTACTTTTTGGATGGCATGCCTATTTAATTTTTAATAAAAAGGTTGATAGGGTTTTTAAATCTCATATTATAAGGATTTCTTTACTTTGGGTTTGGAAGAAACATCATAGAAGTGATTTTAAAATTCCACTATGGGGTATACCATGGCATGCGATAGAAGGGATAAGGAGAGGAGTTAAGATGGATGGTGTTTCTTATGCACAATTACTTAGATGGGATGGTAAAAACTGGCAATTAAAATCTTTGGAAGATTTAACACAAGAAAATATTATTTATTCATGGTTTCAGCATAGACAAATAGTGGAGAGGTGGAAGATAGATTGTAACGTGGGTTTGCTTAGAGAAGATGAGAATTTGTTAAAACAAATAAAAGATCAAAGACGAACTCATATTAAGAGAATCTATGGGGTGTTAGTAGAATTGGATTCAGAAGCAGAATTAGTTAAAGAATGTATGGTTAAATGGGCACAAAACTTTGATGAACCGGTTCCATTAGATACCTGGGAGATTATTTGGGTGAGGAATGTTAAATTTACACAAGCCCAAAATTTAAGGGAAAATTTTTATAAAATGCTTTATAGATGGCACCTTGATCCACAAAAAATGTCTCGTATGTATCCTGACTTGCAGCCTAAATGTTGGAGATGTGGATGTTTGGATGCTACTTATTATCATATCTGGTAGTCATGTAAAAATATAAAAGCTTTTTGGATTAAGATATGGTGGAATATTCAAAGAATTTTTAGAAGGATAAAATTTACCCCACAATTGTTTTTGTTAGGTATTGTTTCTGATTGTGATAGTAAAGAGACTATATTGATGTTAAATTTAATTACAGTGGCCAGG